ACCAAAATGAACTTAACAAAACATAGATTCTTATGACACTAAAGTTTATTCAAAATGACCTCCGTGATTTTGAATACAGTCCTTCAATCTGCGCGGCCAGTCGTCTATCGCTGCACGAACGAGGTCCATGTCAATATCGGCGGCTGCCTTAATCAAGGATATCTTGAGTGACTCCAAATTGGGACGAGGCTTTGAGCACGCCTTTTCCTCCAAGTGTTGCCATATCTTGTAATCTAACGGATTCAAATCTGGACTAGAGGAGGGCCAGTCTTCGTGCCGGATGAAGTCGATTTCATGCGCCGCCAGCCAGTCTTGTGTGCTCTTCGCTCTATGAGCTGGCGCCGAATCTTGTTGGAATACCCAGTGCCTATTATTGAACATGGAATGAGAAACAGGTTCAACAAGGTTCGTCAGGACTGTATTTTGATACACAACTGCATTCGTTTTTACACCTTTCTCACAAAAATGTACCTCTGTTAAGCTCCAATAAGAAACTCCCGGCCATACCATGAGCGAGGATGGAAAATGACCTCGTTGGACACGCGGAATACGGTTGCTCGCTTCTTCACTACTGTGTGTGTACACCTTATCATTTTGTTTGTTGTAGCTCTCTTCTACGGTTAAAAATTTTTTCATCCGAAAAAAGAATTTTCCGATATTTTTTTCCCGCGTACCGCTTCAACAAAGCGCGGCATCTCTTCAGTCTCAGGTCCATTAGACGAGCATTCAAACGATGTCCTGTTTTTCTTCGATATGCCCGAAGCCCTAAGTCTTCATTTAACACCCTTTTCACCGTGGTTCTGCTTAACCCCCTTTGAAGGGCTAACAGTTTCTCCTTACGTTTGGGATTTCTTTGAATTCGCGCCTTCACAGCTTTTATCACTGCTGGAGTCCTAACAGACCGAGGGCGATCACTTCTTGACCTGTCATCTACACTAGAGTCTTCATTGTATCGTTTGATGGTACGATAAACGAATCTTTTGGTTATATTCAAATTTTTCAGTATGTCAAAAATTTGAATTGGCGCGTAACCGCAACGATGCAACGCAATAACTGCAACACGGTCTTCTTTAAGCGTCCACTCCATATTTAAAAATGAGTAAAATTCTAAAAAGTATACTTTTATTTTCATGAACAATACGAAATTCGAATTCAATAAACTTTTTTGTGGCCAGCATTCTAAAAGAAAAGTTTTTACTGTGTGACAATACTTATGACCTGACTAGGTACTATACTCGAATAGAAAGGCACAAGCAGACACAACTCACACAGACATGCAACGAAATGTATAATATATGCGCACGCACACACAAGGGAGTCGATAACGGTGGCAGAGAGAGGCATGACGGCAGAAGAGAGCATCATGGCATACGATTCGGATTTACTGCCGGTGCCGTTACTGTTGTAGATGTAAAACTTTGTAGGCAAAATAATTTAAAATAATTTTATTTATATTTCAGTGACCGCTTGCAACTCATAGGCAGTGATAACTGCACATTCCATGAAAAGCACAAGGCTCTAGGCAAGAACGACTTCTCAAGGATACCAAACGGTGTGAACGGAGTCGAAGACCGTATGGCGATATTATGGCAGAAGGGTGTTAATACAGGTAATCTATATAATTTACATTTATATATATTGTGCAGAATAGTTATAGTAAAATCGTACTATTTTGGTATCTAACTCGTTCTATTAAGTAATTTTATTTAAACTAAAGTAAATATACCACCTTATTTAAAAAGCATTAGTGTTAGGTTTAAATAAGTCTAATAAATAAATATTTTTTATTGAAACAGTATAATTACTAAAAAAATCTATTGTACTACGACATACAGCTATGTAATGTGTATGTCTGTGTAATGTATATACAAGAAATAGAAATGATCCAAGAATAGACCCCAGTGATATACCTATGAGTACAACCGATCCCATGTAATTTATCGTAACCCTTTGCTATTACTACATTTATAATCAAATAATTTTTCCCATAAATAATCAAATTTTAATTATAGTAACTGCCATTGATGTAATTCATTCATCGTTTGGGGTAAAAGTAAATGCTTATATTGTTTTATTAAATTAAACTTGTTTTTTATAAATCGACCAGAATTTTTTAAAAATGTGTAGTCCAATATATCTATTGTCTATTATCATAGAGAAATATATCTATTATCATAGAGCAGGCCTGTGATGGGTTGTAACCTATGTATGTATAGGGGGTGTAAACTTATTTATTTCACAATATATGTTACATAAACAACGGAGAGAACACATGATGGTGAAGAGTTTGTACAAGGGCGTTATTTATTTTATAATGAAATTTCTTCCAGCAGGCTAGAAAAAAGATATGAATGATTAATAAAAGATAATACATAAGGCGTACACTTTGTTACTATACCACACATACAAGGATAAAGTAAATACACACACACACACACAAATATATATATATATATATATATATATATATATATATATATATATATATATATATACTTTTATTACTTTTATTACATATATATATATATATATATATATATATATGTAATAAAAGTATAGTAAATATCAAAGATATTTATTTTTTCATTTCTTTGTTTTTTTTTTCTTTTTTTTTTCTTTTAACAAACGTAACCTTCGCACTAGGATTTTCTCCTGTATCGTGTTTACAAATATAAATTGCACAAATACAAGCATCCAGATCCGGAGCAATTATTTGTAGGACATACAAATACTTGTATCGTGCGGGATTCGAACCCGCGGCCTATAGTGGTGCAACTCAATTGCTAAGCCACTGCGCCACGGAGCCGTCATATGAAACTTACATAGAAGACAGAGATAAATAATGTTTTTTTTACTTGTTTTTTAGACAATGTCACTGTTTTGATTTCTCGAATGGGAGGAGGAAATGAATTCCAGAGTCTCACTGATGTGTGTGTATGCACATGTGCAGAGAACCGACGGGAGTATTAACGAGCTTTAAAGTAGGGGAATTTCAAGAAGGTTTTAAGGTTAGTCGAATGTGGTGGTAGGTGCGATGGACCCGTGCCGGTTCGTGGCGGCGACGAGCGCCACGGCTGCCCGCGTGTTCAACTTGTGGCCGCGCAAAGGGCTGGTGGCGGCGGGCAGCGACGCCGACCTGCTGGTGTGGGACCCGCGCCTCACGCGCACCATCTCCGCCGCCTCGCACGCACACGCTGTCGACTTCAACATCTTCGAGGTGCGCACTCTTTATATTTTACCACGTAAATTCGATAATACCACCGTGTATCAAACCACCGAGGTTGTATGGGTTACCGAAAATACACAAACCAAACGTCCACTACGTCCCATAGTGAGTCAGATAAATTCACCAACTTATAAGTTGGCTCAGCACTTGGCAAAAATGTCACCGCTGAGAATATAAACCAGAGCACATACAAAGAATTCGTACCATGTTGTTAGTGAGATAAAAGATCTACATCTCGCTGACATTGAAACTAATGTCAGGTTTGATGTTCAGTCACTATTTACATGCTTACCTATTGAAGACTGCATCTCAATTGTAACTAAGGAAGCTAGAAAAAAAATTTGGCGGATAGGAGCTAGGCGAGAAAAAGTGTAAGATTTTTCCGTAACGACCCCCTATCTATAGTGCGAGCGCGATGGAATAACATCCATTTCAATCGCAATTTTTCTTATCTTGCCATGAAAGAAATATTATTTTAAATGACGTTTCATTTGAATACATGCTATTTATTCATTTATTTATATTTGTTAATCAATAATATGATACGTTTATCAATAATAGTATACTACGAAAGAAATTTCGTTCCAACCGAGTGTTCCATGTCACACACGCATGTTTTTTTATAGAATGGAGGTGACAAACGAGCACACAGTCCGCCTGCTAGTAAGTGAATACTGTGGCCCATAGACATCTACATTTATCTTCGATTAAGAATCAAAATGCAGATCCGCTGTCACACCTGAAGACTAATACGGAATGTCTTACTTCCAGTAAAATAAGTCTCACATTCTCTACACTCACAATACGAAACAAAGCAGCATTAAGCTGCCATTTTACGCTGGTATTCTGTGAGAACGTGGTCCTTCCCCGGTCGAGCCGACCCATTCGTGCTACAACAATAATATAGTTAAAGGGTGGCTATATATTTCCTGAATATAATATATACCTATCTTTGTTCAGCATTTCATGGAACCACTGCAATAATAATTTCATAGTTCAGTTCAACGCTGCCTTCCAGACCAGTGTGTAAGACCCTGTCCTAAGTTGTTAAAATTGTATTGTTGAAATCTATACATATTACAAGCAATCTTTAAATATAACATTTAAATAATTGAATTTAATATTCTCCCCGGCTCAATAAAAGGTTATTAACCTAAGGGGATTATTTGCATACCATCAAAACACCAATAATAACCATTTAAAAATAATAACGCCACATTAACGCCAAGCCCGGTTTCGCCTAAGTGGGATAACATAGATCCCACCCAGACAAAACCGGGGCGGAACGCGTCTGGTTCCAATATCTAAAATCCGTTGAAGCCTCGGTCACACAGCGAATACTCGCTGCAATATTCATTCCGCTCCAAACTACACGCATATACATAGGTCTTTTCGTTGCTGGATGATACGTGTGTGTAACACAATCAAATGAGTTAACCGATTCTCTAAAATGGGGAAATTACGATATAATTCGTTTCTTGCGTATGTATAGAAAAAATGGGGAGATGGTTTGACACAAATAACAGTAATTAAAAAAAACGCAAAGACAAATGCCTTCATTGTTTAACGAATTAATTGAATTGGGATTCGAAATAGCAACCCAAGAGCAATTGAAAAGAAAATTTAAGAATATAAAAGATACATATTATAGATAATTCTCGTGTAGTTACTCGCTGTGTGTGACAGGCAGGCACCGAATTGTCGCTGCGAGTAATATTCGCAGGGAATACACTCGCAGCGAATATTCGCTGTGTGTGACCGAAGCTTGACTGACGCTCAGATGACGTTTCTCTTATATACGGTACAATATACGTTTTTTCAATTCCTACCGTATAGTGGCGGTGTCAAAATATCCTTTACCCTCTATCGTCCGAAGGTGTCATAAGAACCGACAGAGGAAAATTTAAACAAGGGATAGACAGCAGCGTCTTCCTAATAATAACCTAAATGCCAACCCGTCTGCCAAGCGTTGCAACTATACAAAATCCCCACTATGAGGCAATCTAGAGAGGTATCATGGTATTTTACGTCTGGCATAATGAGAAGGCTACACCGCCATTTTCCCATAGTCACCTCTTACGACACCCTACTACTAATAAGTAATAAATTATTAGAAATAAATAATAGTTCATTCATATAACTAAACATACAACTTAAAAAGTTAAAAAAAAGTTAAAGTTACAGCCTATATACGTCCAACTGGTGGGCACAGGTCTCCACTCATTTCTGACAGGGTTTTAGGACAAGTAAGTGTCCGCCGCGCTGCCCCAATGCGTGTTGGCGAACTTCACATGTCTTCGAAATATTTTTTTTTCTTATTTCTCAGACATGGTTTCCTCACGATGTTTTCCTTCACCGCCAAGCATGTGGTAAATCAGCACTTAAAATTGCAATTAACAATTTCTTTGGTGCCGGCGGGGATCGAACCTGGGTTGCCCGCGTACTCTGAAACTTACAGCGAACGCTAACCATCTGACCTACCACGGATCCATACAATTTAACATGTTTATTAATAAAAAATGTAGTGGTATAAACATTCGTTACGTTTCCACCCAAAATGCTTCTTTAAAAAAAATAACCTGTTCTTTCGTTACTAGCGACATTAATATTTTTGTGAAATATTTTTGCCATAATCGCGCCATAATGTTATATTGCAGGGCCAAAACGTTGTGGGTGGTCCGCAGTACGTGATCGTCAACGGGCGCGTTTGCCTCGACGACGGGGACCTTAGAGTTGTTGAAGGTAAATAACATTTTATTTATTTTCCTTTTTTGCAGTGGATCATCCAATAGGTAATAACAATAGTTAGGGAAGCTGTTTATTTTTTAAGTTATGAACCCAGACGTTTGGTAGTCGCTAAGAAAACTACGTGTATATTGTATGTTGTTGGCAACATACAGGCACTATGTTATAACAATAATACTTCATTTTCAGAGTGATAATGCTTTATTTTCCTAGGTGGTAAGACGTATAGACAGCCAGCATAATTATATAACAGGCGGTGAAGAGTTCCATCTTGTCCTCAAAGTTGACAATACATCTATAGCTTCGTATAGTTTGCTGTAGCTGTGCGTGGACTGCAGTAGGCTCTTACCATCAGGCGGACTGTATGTTAATTTGTTAATCCAGTTTTATGATAAATAAATCATTAATCTTTATTTATACCGTGATTCAATCACCGTATGAGATGTTACAATTATTTGTCCAGTGAAGATGGGTTTCGTTAACTACAAGTATGCAAATTATTATTCTATACAGTCCATATGAGACAATATTAATTACAATCAAGAACCTTTCATGTCATAAAAGCTGTTTGCTTTTAACCAATTATACAAGTATTTCTTTTTCCATATAGTAATTTCAATTTCTTAGGTATCTTTCTTAGAATAATTTGTGTATTATAGTATTCTATAGTATCTTTATATATGTGTGTGTTTCTCACTAAACTCCCCCTAAACGGCTAGACTGATTTTGATGAAATTTTTTGTGTTAGAGTGGTGGGTCTTAGATGGTTTATATTCACAATTAAATCCAGTTGGGGGCTTTATTATCAAGATCCAGAAATCACCCTTGCGAAGGCGGGGCGGATCGCAAGTTTAATTATTTATTTTCACGCACATATTTAGACAATTTTTGTTATATATAACCAATCTAGGAATGGCATCTAGGACAAGTTTGTCTGTGTCACGTCGGTTTCAGTAGGGACATAATAAATTACTAGCTGTAATTAGCTGTAATAAACATCTTAATAAAACACGACTTATTTGTAAAAAGCAACAATAGTGATATAAAAAAGTCACGAATTTCTGTTATGATTTGTCAGGTTTCGGTAGATTCCTGAAGACGCCAGCCTTCTGTCCGTACGTGTTCAGCAGCGAGCCGAAGCACCACACTGTGCACCACCAGGAGCCGCACCAGCTGCCCGAGTCCCCGCGCTCGCACTCGCCGCAGAGGGTTACTAACGGCACTCCTACTCACGGTATGTGTATTTTTTTTATTAAATATGTAATTATAATTCAAAAAGGCGACCACTTTTTACCACGTTTTTTTTTAGAATGAGTGTGATAAACGAGCACACAATCCACCTGATGGTAAGTGGTTGCTGTGGCCCATAAACATCTATATCTATTCTCGACTAAGAATCAAAATGCAGATGAGATGCCACCCCTGAGGACTAAGATGGAATGCCTCGTTTCCATTAAAAGGAGTCTCCACTTCTCTACACTTACCATACGAAACAGCAGCGTTAAGCTGCTATTTTACGCTGGTATTCTGCTACAACCATAATATAGCTGCAGCATAGCTCTACCACGAGATACTATCTAATTCTAAGTTATGTGTAAAGATTCAAGTCTCTAGATCAACGAGAAGTTAGTTTGAAATCGATTACGGAATTCGCACTAAACAGTCAAACAAATAGACAGATAAAAAGTGTTTAAAAAAAAAAAGCATTCCATTGTCATTTAGTCCTGTAAAGTTACCTGTGACAGCATATAATCCCGTGGGTGTCAAAAAACGACATACTGTTTTGTTGGTGTACTGGTCGTAAGCAGAACTGCTAATCATGAGGTTCCTGATATGTATGCCAAGGTCTGGTCAAAAGAAGTTATTGTGATTTTCTGTCAATAAACGCCCAGAGTCAGCAAGTTGGCTGGTGTTTCACTCCTGTGCCCCAGAAATCACATAAAGCCCATTGGTTTGGTTTGGTTTTGCACCCCATCTCTCTTCGGTCGTGCCGGATTTCCGTCCCATCTGACTATGAGAATGAGGGTAAACAGAGTGAATCTGTGCTTACGCACACACTCGCTCAGATAATGTCCTGCACGGATGCCTAGTCTTCGTTTAGACTAGTCGCTGTGACCGAAATTCTATCTAGAGTACATTAAGAGATAAGAGGCGACAGAGGAAATCTAAAACAGGCGATGGACATCATCATTTTCCTAATAATAACTCAACATAATAAAAAACTGCGGTCACCAACTCCCAAGCCACCAAGCGTAATAACTATGACAAATACTTCTATGAGGCAATCTATGGGCTTATAATGACTTGAGACGGGCTGTAATGAAAAGTAAATGAAAGACCTCCTATATACGTTAATTTATTCTTTACAACATATAAATGTATAAAGCCTACAATTGTCTTCATCCAGAACTGAACATAGTGAGCAAGCAGATGGCGGGCACGACGCTTTCCTCCGGCTGCAGTACGCCAACTGGAAGGAAGATGCGCGAACCTGGACAGAGAGATCTACAAAACTCCACTTTCTCCCTTAGCAGTAAGTATTGGTTTGGTTGAAGTCGGCTAGAGTTGCTAGTTGCTTCTTTCTTTGTTACTTTGTTTATTAAACAATCGAAGTGACAAAAGACCCTAACTGTAAGTGGCTTCAGCTGTCCATGGAAACCTGCAGCCAACTTCGAACAAGGAAGACTGCAGATGCGTTGTCACATCTGAGGACCTAAGATGGAATGTCTTACAGCCTCTAATTATATTAGCTTTCTATACCCTCCAGACTGGAACACAGTACCCCACCACCCAGACAGACTCCTATGGATGCCATACACGATCCAGTTTACCGTCAAGTTTGCAGCGCGCTTGTAGCGGCGTCCGGTAAACTTAACGGCGTAGCAAAAATTGAATTTCGATTCTGCCGACTTATCTTAAGCTTGCAGCAAACTTGAAAGTGTGTATGAGCGGTCAAGTATGCATGACGGTCGTCGGGGCAAATAAGCGAGACACGCAATGGTTTCAACTGATGCGGCATCATGCAAACTTGACGGCGAACTTGAACATGAGTGGTCTATATGGAAGCACTGCAAACTTGACGCCGCTTCAAGCGCGCTGCAAACTTGACGGTAAACTGGATCGTGTATGGCATCCACTAGGCAGAAAAGTAGTCCTACATGGTAAAAAGATTAAAATTACAACCTATCATACGTCTCGCTGGTGGGCGCTGGCCTCCTCTAGTTTCTGAGAGGGGTTTTCGGCAAAGAAATGTCCGCCGTGCTGCCCCAATAAGTTGGCCAACTTCACATGTCTTTGAAATATTTTTTTTACATTGTTACCAAGAGTAAAATGTAATGTAGTTTTGTGTTATGTCAATCGGCTAGTGTAATCATTTTTATGTTACAATTAGGGTTGCCACCTTTTTTGAAGCAAATTTTGTTTATTTGCTTTTTAAAGCTAAAAAATAAAGTACGACTAATGAAAATAAAGTATTATTTAAGTGACATGCTATTTAATCCACACAACATCTATTACATTCTAAGTTAGATTAACACTCTGTTTCTTTAATCCCATCACTTATCTTAGCATTTAGCAAAGAAAAAACTCTGTGTAAATAATGCTAAGTGACGGGAATAGTTAGAAGACATGACACGATTTTGTATAAATTAGTATTCCTACTTTAAAAATATTTTGCCATTTGTGAAGCAGATAAATCTGAAAAAAGTCCGAATTATTTGCTTCTGCATATAGCCTATTGTGTATCATATAAAGATGACTGTGTTATTTTACGTTCTTTTAGTAAACATTAAATTCTTAAAAATCGTAAAAATAAGTAAAATAAAATATTTTCATGCATTTTATTGGTCTCATTAAAGTATAAAGTACGGGTGGCAACCCTAGTTACAATGTAAAAATATACAGTGCTGCGTATTTTTGGTTTTTGAACCATATTCTTTAATTATTGCAGAGGAGTTAGATGCACCGGAAAACAAACCATCAGTGCGTGTGAGGAACCCACCTGGCGGGAAATCATCCGGCCTTTGGTAAAAACCGGATCAAACCGGTTACGTCGGGACTATAGCGCTTTAAGAACGTGGAAGCTTTACGGCAGCGCTGGGATTACTATTGCTTGTGAAAAAATGTATTAGGGAGTTAATTACTTTTACGTTTAATAAACCTATGTCTAAAAACTAACGGAGTTAACATTTTGACAGCTCTAATGCCTGCTGACACAAGGCTAGTATTTCAAGTCAGGCTATAATTTTTATAGTAAGATAACATCAATTAAGCTAGGATTCTAGTAAAACTAGCTTCGTATAAACTATAATATAGCTTGCTAGCTCACTGACGTAATCATACTACCCTTGCTTGAATTACTAGCAATTCATGACATTCGATTGTGTTACGTGTTCCACTCTTAACGAATTAAGGTATAATATTTTGATATAAGGTTTGATATTTTATTCTGAACGTAACTCAGACGTACAAAGAAAGACCGACTTAGTGCACTGCACATTTCAAGTGATGCACGCACTCACACACACGTCTTTCTTCTTTCTTTATTTTACAGCCCGTAAAATTTCACTATTGAACGCATGCACCAAAAACCATGTTGTCGGTTGTAAATTATTTTAGATACATGTGTGTGAGTGCGTGTTCTTACAGTAAATTAAGTATGGTTTTGACTTGGTTACGGTCTCACTTAAAATGTGCGCAACGCCCGGTCTATCTTTTTTTGTAGGTCTGAATTGGCGCAGGTTTAATACTCGACTGTTATAATATTTTTATAACAAATATAATATAATTACATACACACGTAGCCTATTCTGTGTATATTTTATTTGTATTGTTTAATGTTATATATTTAAATCTGTAACATTTTTTCACAAAGCACATCTTTAGTTTGAGCTTATAAAGCGTCTCAAAACAACTTTTAGACTATTTACTTATCTGATATTTACAGTAGCCAACGCAAACCCTTATAAAGTCTGTCAAAGTATTCGAACAAATTTCATACTCTATTAGTTTTCTCTTTGGATAGATTCGATGAGGTTTTGAGTTGTCGTTTGTTCTATATTGTTAGACTGCTTTATGTTTAGTGCATGACATTTAACTGTTCGATGGTTATAAGACAATATTTGTTCGGTTTCATAGACTGATTTTGTAGAAATCACTTTAATTGATTTTATATATCGCAGGATAGAATTATTATAATGTTTACCTATAATCAATATAATACAATGTGATGACGACATGGAACCAATGTTTTATGTTATAGTTTTAAAAATAGTAGGTACTGAATCCTCTTGGGGAGGATGGCAATAATTTTTTGTCATCTCTTATATTACTGAATTAGTTGAAACAATTATTTAAAGAATATCGTCTTTTTAGTTTTAGTGGTCGAACTTTGTTATAGTGGTACATTTTCTCGATTCATTGTTATTGACACTATAATACTTATGTAGATTGATTAGTGTTAAACAAATAGGTGTGAATTTCTTTGTAATTCTATATCTACAGTCAAGCAACAGGCAATTGCTTTTGACCAACTATTACTATATATTAACTAATAAACCAATATTTATGTTGGAATTTAAAATTAGAATTTAGTACATGACTAGTTTATCTACCTTTTGTAATTTTCTACTCAATACTTTCGGGCTTTGGCCAAACACGAATACTACAAAAAGAGAAAAGTTATAACATTTTAAAAATCGAATATTTTCGTGACAATAGCTATAGGCTTTCAGCCAAAACAGACTTCATAAAATCCCATGTGTAAACATTTTAGAAATAGTAAATCACTGCTTTTACAACATACACTTTTGTAAGAAAGCATAAAACTTAATTAACTTGATATTTTGATAGGTTATATATAAAGTTATTTTAGAATCTTTCTCTTCGAAAGATCAATATTTGTCTTTTTAAATTTATGGCATCATTGGAGCATTTAATATTTTAAACATTTTGTAGGATGAGCAATAGATTTTTTTAATGTTAGTAATTTAAATTGTACCTATAAAATTTTTTGTACTTTATCCAGTTTTTATCATTTTAATTTGTAGGATTCATTCATTTCTAAGTAAAATAATCTCGTTTACTTATTACTCACAATAAACTTTCAATCTAACTCGCACTAAACAGTAATGTTGTCATAATTGTATATTTGGTAATAGAATGAGAAAAGTTAATTTACTGAAAATTTTTGTGGTTTCGTTGCCGAAGTTGTAATAATTCCAAAATAAATTTTATAATTCAGTTAAGTAACTTTTTAAAATTACTGATGTAATAGAAACGCCTATAATCTTAGTCGAAGTTATATGACTAAAACATAGATTGGTGTGAATTTCCTTGTAAAAATATATTATTTTATGTGTTATGTTATTTGATTATACGCAAAATTCATGTAGTGTCCATGTATAAAAATATGGAAACCCAGTACAAATCTCGTATAACAGTCAAGTTAATGTACCCTTACTAGTCTTGGAATGGCATCACAATTTTACAATGTTTTACATTTTTCCTAAATGTCTGTTCTTTATTATGCATTGTCACAAAATAAACAATGTAATCTAACATGAATTTCATTTAATTCTAATTATTTGATACCACCACTCTTACTACATTTAATGTGAAATGCTAGAAGAATCTTATCTGGCTTCCGATAGATGGCGGTGTAACGAAATCGCTAGCCGTTACCGTTAGGCCCGCCACATACATACGGAATTCCGTTTCGATATTCCGATTCGAGATTGCGAACGCAGCAAATTCATATAAAATATATGACCCATCACACACGTACGGTAGTTTTCCGTTCGAAATTTTGTGGGCAAAACGGGATTCCGTATGTGTGTTGCCTGGCCGGCCTGACTGTTGAAATCCACCACTGAAATTAGGGCCCTCCCTCATAGGGAGGACATTTGCCAAGCGCCAAATTTGGCTTTTGGCAAGCGGGTTGGCAACCGCAGTTTTTTTTTAGTCATTATTAGAAAGACGCTGCTGTCCATCTCCTGAATTGTTTCCCTATGTCGCCTCTTACGACACCCACAGGATTACACGATTCAATAACACGGTATGGTAATTCGCTTGCGCCAGGTTTAAAATATCCAGACAGGCAACAAGGCAGTATTATAAAAGTTGCGAGACGTCATTTACTGCGATCGTCTTTCCGATTTCCCACCGATTCCCAAAAAATTTTTACGGATTTTATCGTGCCGTGTAGTGGCGGTCCAGAATATCCACTACCCCATATCTTACCGTGGGTGTCGTAAGAGGCGACAATGGGAAACAGGCAGGAGATAGGCAGCAGCATTTTCCTGATAACAGCTAGATTACAATAAAAGACTGCAGTTGCCAACCCGCTCGCCAAGCTTGGCAACTATGGCAAATATCCCCTCATGAAATGATAGTTACGAAGAGGGCTCCCAGACCCCAGCGGCCCCGCTGTTCCTAGCTACCGTGGCGACCATGGTAACGGCGGGGCAGGGGGTGCTCAAATCTCCGGTGGAGCTTCGGTTGCCACCTAAGACGATTCAACCTGGCAACATACAACGCACGCATCCTGAGGACTGAGGAGAAGATCCTGTAGCTGGAAGAAGAGATATACAAGTTACGCTGGCATTTTATAGGAATATCCGAGGTCTCAAGAGAGGAGGAGGACACGGTAATCCTCGAATCTGGCAACATGTTCTATCACCGGGAGGGCGACCATATGTCCCAAGGAGGTGTCGGATTTATCGTCAACAAGTCTCTCGTTAACAATGTTGTAAAAATTGGGAGTGTGTCGACGACGGTTGCGTACCTTATACTCAAAATCACCAAACGGTAATCGTTGAAGGTTATACAGGTTTATGCACCAACCTCTGCACATCCCGATGAGGAGGTGGCCGAAATGTATGTGGATATCTCTAAAGCCATTCATTCCTCCAAAACCCACTACACGGTGTTGATGGGAGACTTCAACGCAAAACTAAGCGCAAGAGAGAAGCCTGAAAGCGGTGAGCTGAAAGTAGGGAAATTTGGAATAGGGCAACGGAACTCAAGGAGCCAACAGCTGGCCAACTTCATGAAGAAAGAGGGACACTTTATATTGAACTCTTTCTTCCAGAAGCGACCGCACAGGAAGTGGATCTAGTCGAGCCCCGACGGTTCGACAAAAAATTAGATTGATTTCCCTATGACGACCAGACGATAACTGTTCAGTGTTCAGTGATGTCTCAGTGATCGCGAGGATGAAAGCCGGCAGCGATCACTGAATGGTGAGAGGCATACTGAACCTAAACATTAAGTTGGAGAGGTCTCGTCTAATGAAGTCAACTCTCCGTCCCCCTCGTGCTCTAATCCAAAGTCCCGAAACCTTTAAGGTCGAGTTGCAAAACCGTTTTCAGTACCTAGAAGACTGCAAAGCAGTGGACGATATGAATGATAAGCTCGTGGAAACTGTCCATGCGGTCGGAGGTCGGTTCTGCTAGACCCGCCGCAGAAAAACATAAAAACTCTCCGATCACACTCTTAATCTCATGGCTGTTAGACGGGAAATAAGGCTGCAGTCTTCAACAGATTTGACAGCATCCAGACACCTGAACAGACAGATCTAAAAATGCATGCGGCAGGGCTTACGCATCTTCAATACAGTTTGTATTGAAGAAACGATCGAACGGAACCAAGGCTTCAGTATTTGCCAGAGATCTGTCTGCCAAAAAGAGCCAACTGTCGAAGTTGAAGATCGAGTGTGGTAGCATCGTTTCCGGGACCTGAGATGTTAAGTGAGATTGAGAGGTTCTATGGGCAGCTGTAAACATCATCGTTGGAGCCACATGTAAGTGTGAGTAACGATCCAAGAGCAAGTCTTATTCGACACTATTCCGATGATATCTCGGACGTCAGTCTGAGCGAAGTTTGAATAGCTCTCCAGCACCTTAAAAACGGCAAGGCAGATGGAATTACAGCGGAGCTTCTGTAAGCGGGTGGAAAACTGGTACTTAAAGTCCTGCAGAAGCTCTTTAATTCCGTCCTCCATGGTGGGACTACTCCGGAGGCGTGGAGCC